AATGTTCAAAGAACGCATACTTGTCCTTCAGAGAGGTGCCAATCCACTTTACAACCAAGGAGTAAAACGGCTGAGGTTTTCAAGACGGTTTGAGGGATGGAAACATCTTGCAGGTGACTACAGCAATCTCAGCTTCCAGGGTCTCACTGCAGCAAACAGCAAGGCTCTCCTCTTGCTGGGGGCACAACGCTGCCCACCTGCTTAGAAAGAGTTGGGAAAGTCATTTGCAAAACATCAGAAGTGAAGGAGACTTTCTGGGATTGTTCGTGCTACTGAACTGCAGCTCTTTCAGTGAAATATCCTAAATCCTAATCATTTACATTATCCACTCCACTGCTTTAAGTGAAGCATGTTTCTTTCTCTCCTCATCCTCACCTTCTCTTGGCCCCGGTGGAGAACACTGCATGGTGAGAAACGTTAGGTAGTAAAAGGTAAGTTCTTCTGGTCATAGTGGTTGTTCAACCAACAGCAATATTCAAGAAGTTCTGAAACAAGGCAGATGAGCTTCCCCAAAATGGGACTTGATTTTAAGGCAACAGAAAGGATGAGAGAACATGGAAACAATTTAGGTGGGCGTCAGATGTCGATAGGACTTTGATTTTGAAAGCCTCTCCTTCTGTCCCAAGTTAATGTACCAAGAACTGGGACCTTAAAGAAGGCGAGGATATTACAGGGGAGCCAGGCGCCTGATTTACTGAAGAAATGACCCCTAGAACTGCCACTGGCTTAAATTGGGGTCAAGAAGTGCTGAGCATCCCCAAAAATCTGGCCCCAGAGGTTATTTGCACCGCTTTTACTCGGAGGGTGTGTCACAGAGATGCAGCAAGCAGATTTACCACTTCCAGGCAGGTGGAGAAAGAGCAGACAGGGCAGTGGACTGAAACGAGAAATGCAGTGTGTGGCTGGATAGACTCGGCTCTGGGCGAGCTGGAGAACTGATGGTGGAGACAGTGACAACAAATGTGCCAGATATCATTTGTATTTAGACCAGAGTCCCCAAATAAGCTTCTATCATCACACCTTTTTACTGCACAGAAGAGCGCACAGGGATGCGTGTTGATCTCTGCAGCTACCTCTCTCTGGAGCCTATGCGTTTAGCCAGGAAGCAAATCTGCCTCCATGGAGCTACCCCACCAGCCCAGCCTATCTGATAGTTTGGATCACGATTACTAATGCATCTTTTCTGCCAGAGGGAGACAAAAAAACCTGTAAGACGACGACACCTAAGACATTCCTGAAATAGCTTTTCTGCAGCATATATGATACTGATTTAGTGACGCTTATCGGGAATTATGCAAGGTAGTCTGCAAAATTTGATTAGGGCTTTGCCACTAATGAATAACTCAGCATAGGGATCATTCCAGTAAACTGTCTGTCCCCCCACCCCAAGCACACCACCACATCAGCAATCTGCCCCATTACAGCAACCCAACAGCTGCTGACTTCAGTGGGAGCAGAACTGAACCTATAATCACTACGAAACATCTCCCTGTGTTTTTTGTTTTGCAATATTTGTAAAAAGAGAGATGAAAAATAGTAACACCGTGCTTCAAAAACTACCACCAATATCCAATTCTACAACAAGCTTCTAACGGTATTTATAATGTGCCTTTAAATTGCCTTGCGATACTACACAGAGCAAGTGTCAGTTTGGGGAATGGCGAAAATGTTCCTTTCCTACCTTGTAAATTGAGTTTAAATGCTCTATGTGGCTAAGATGTGCTTTTTCGTAGCTCACTAATCCATATCAAACACCAGCATCTATGTCGGTCATTTTCATGCTGATGTGTTACCAAATGCATACTGTCAGCTGAGGACTCTGGGTTAACAGTGCCTAGCAAAAGAGAAACTGTAGCTGCCGGTTTTAAAATCAAAATATTTTCCACTGAAACATTCTCACTTTGAGGACATGAGTGCTTAAAGACATTGTCTATTCACCTTGATGCTGTCTGTCAAGCTTCCTTTGGTGCCTCTCCTTCCACCGGCGCATTTCTGGCACGGCCAAACATGAAGTTACCCTTGATGAAGAAAGAAACAAAACCAGCCCTCGTTTCCTTCCTTTTTCTTCCCCTGTCCTCAGCCCTGTCGCCTCCCCTCTCCACTTTCTCACCTCCACTGTCCAGGCTGAACTTGGGCTAATGCCCATCAGCTCTAGAAGGCGCCTGCGGTCTGTCCCTGCCTGTCCGCTCCCACCAGCGATGCCTCCTCACCTCAGGACACCCCGGCCGGCCTCACCCTCCCTCCCGCCCAGCCTCGCGCCTCTCCCCAGCTTGGTGATGGTTCCCCCCACGCAAATCCCCTGCGAGCTTTGCTCCTTCAAATCCCTCCCTCCGCAGGCCCCACACAGCGGGCCTGCATTTTGGGTGGGTGGAAAGGAGGGAGAGCCGCCCCGCGGCCCTCCGGGCGCTGGAGCTCAGCACCCGCTTCTCCAGCGATTCCTCAGAGGAGCAGCTCACCCATAAGCACTCATCCGACCAAGGGAGACGGCCTGGGAGCCTCTCGGATCCATCCCGAAGATGGGCGGCTTTGTACCGGGCCCTGTGGGCGCACATCCCAAGGGGACAACATGGCGGGCGGCTGCGCCGCCACAGGAGCTGGGTCGTACCAGGGGCCGCTCTCCTCACAGGAGCTGGGCCGCTCTCCTCACCGGAGCCCGCGGGGACCTCATCAAGGGGGGGTGGGCACCTCCTGCCTCGTTAGCAGGACATAATTAAGAGGCAGCGGTGAAGGAAAGCAGGTGACAGGCACGAAGAGCCAAGGTGGAAGCACCCAGGGTTGGAAGCCACGGCCAGCGGGACGCCGCTCCCGCCCAACCCCA